GCTACACCATCCCTAATGACAAGTACAGCATCTACTCAAACTCAGACTACAACAGATAATGCAGCTGCTCCAACTCCAAGTACAGCAACTACACCAACCCCAGTGACAAGTACAGCAGCTACTCAAACTCTGACAGCAACAGACAGCACAGCTACCCCATCTCCAAGCACAGCAACTACACCAACCCGACCGACAAGTACACTAGCTACCCAAACCCCGACAGCAGATACTGCAGCCACTTCAACCATAGTGGTAATCACTGCAGCTAAACCAGAGGACCAATTTGTGACAATAGGGGTTGCCCCTGTACACAAGTGGAAAAGTAAAAAAGAGACAAGAAAGATGAAGAAGCAAGATGAAGAAGCAATGCAGTCACTATCTAAGACAGCATCTGATCAGGAGCCATTATCACATGAATCAGAGGAAGAAGAATAGGTGAATTCTCAACCCCAGACCTCAACCGAGCCACAGAATATGCAAAACGATTTTACCCATAAACCAGGGGAGCACATCATCACCTGGCTGGTCTGATGCTGGGACAATGGGGAGTTAGAATGTAGGGAAGCTAAGCAGCTGGGATCACTTGCTAGGGAAGGGGGAATTGACAAAGCAATTGCAAAAGAGAAATGGTCCCTCAGCCTTTGGAGGTGCCTCTTGGCAGCTGTGAAAGAAAGGTTTCCATACAAGGACTATGTTATGAGTCATTCGGCCAAGTGGACTTAAGCTAGAGAGAGGCATCCAGTTTCTGAGGGAATCAGCCATTGTAGAGATGATCTATCACAGGCCAGGTGCCGGGGATGCACCCGTAGATCCAGATAAAGTTGAATGTACACGACCCATGTGGTGGAAATTTACATGGAATGAACCGTCATCATATGCCCATTCATTGGCAGCAGTAACCTGGAATGACATAGTACCACCAACAGTGGATGAAATGATTCATAAACTCCAAGAGTTCAAAGACAATCTCACCCCTTCCATCATCTCAGCTGTGGAAAAACTGTCTCAGGAGTTCAAACAGTTCAGAGACAATCTCTCTGATCTATCCAGCTCCTCACGTGTACCAACACACGTCTCAGCTATTAAGAAAAGGTGTCCTACTGATCGAGAGAGAAGATATAGGAGGTACATGCCACGGGCCACCCTACAGTTTTACCTGCAGGATTATGGAGAAGACATGAGAAAGTGGGATGGAAAACCTACCTCAGCTCTGGAGGAACAGGTGCTTGTATTGAAGAGGAGAACAAAGGTCAAGGCTGATCATCCCATGAAAGCTGCAGCTTCAGTGTCTGGTGAGCGAGTTCCCAGATGGAGTGGAAGAGCTGATTTTACTCTGGCTCCTGTGATAAAGAAGACTAATCCCTGTCTACAAGACGTAAGTGACCAATGTTGTCATGACTATTAGAGGGGCCCTGCCTCCAGCCAGGTGGAGGTAGGGGACAATCGGATTTACTGGACTGTGTGGATCAGATGGCCTGGCACATCAGTCCCACAGAAGTATAAGGCTCTAGTAGATACCGGTGCATAGTGTACCCTGATGCCATCAGGCTGTCAAGGGGTGCAACCCATTTATACTTCTGGAGTGACAGGAGGATACCAAGAGTTGACTGTGCTGGAGGCTGAAATCAGCCTGACCGGGAGGGAATGGCAAAAGCACCCTATTGTGACTGGTCCAGAGGCTCCATGCATCCTTGGCATAGACTACCTCAAGAGAGGGTACTCCAAAGACCCAAAAGGGTACCGATGGGCTTTTGGTATTGCTGCTTTGGAGACTGAGAAAATTGAGCAGCTGTCCACCTTGCCTGGTCTCTCAGAGGATCCTTCTGTTGTGGGGCTGCTGAAGGTTGAAGAACAACAAGTGCCAATCGTGACCAGAACAGTGCACCGGCGACACCAACCAAGACTCCCTGGTTCCCATCCATAAGCTGATCCATAGGCTGGAGAGTTAAGGAGTGATCAGCAGGACCCGTTCACCCTTTAATATCCCCATATGGCCAGTGCAAAAGTCTAATGGAGAGTGGAGATTAACAGTAGACTATCGTGGCCTGAATGAAGTCACACCACCATTGCGTGCTGCCGTACCTGATATGCTAGAACTTCAGTATTAACTGGAGTCAAAGACAGCCAAGTGGGATGCCATAATTGAAGAAATCTATGGTTCATTTTGCTCATCATTTAAGAATTTCATCCAGTGCTAAAGGTATTGACCAAAAATACAGAATCATGGAATCCCAGACTGGTTTGGTTGGAAGGGACCTTAAAGCTTATCCAGCTCCAACCCCCTGCCACAGGCAGGGACACCTTCCACTAGAGGAACTTGGTCCAAGCCCCTGTGTTCAACCTGGCCTTGAACACTGCCAGGGATGGGGCAGCCACAGTTTCTCTGAGCACCCTGTCCCAACACCTCAGCATCCTCACAGGGAAGAACTGCCTAAGAGCTCATCTCAATCTCCCCTCTGGCAGGATAAAGCCATTCCCCTTGTCCTGTCCCTACAGGCCCTTCTCCAAAGCCCCTATCCAGGTTTCTTGTAGCCCCTTTAGGCACTGGAGGTGCTCTAAGATCTTCCCTTCAGGAGCCTTCTCTTGTCCAGGCTGAACCATCCCAGCTCTTTCGGCCTCGGATGTTTATCTCCTGGGCTGTGGGTGAAGGCCAATGATCCAGAGGGCGTGGATGAGAAATTAATAAAATACACTATAGAATCATAAAATCATAGAATCGTTAGGGTTGGAAAGGACCTTAAGATCATCCAGTTCCAACCCCCCTGCCATGGGCAGGGACACCTTATGCTAAACCATATCACCCAAGGCCTCGTCCAACCTGGCCTTGAACACTGCCAGGGACGGAGCATTCACAACCTCTCTGGGCAACCTATTCCAGTGCCTCACCACCCTAACAGGAAAGAATTTCCTTCTTATATCCAACCTAAACTTCCCCTGTTTAAGTTTTAACCCGTTACCCCTTGTCCTATCACTACAGTCTCTAATGAAGAGTCCCTCTCCAGCATCCCTATAGGCCCCCTTCAGATACTGGAAGGCTGCTATGAGGTCTCCACGCAGCCTTCTCTTCTCCAGGCTGAACAGCCCCAAATTCCTCAGCCTGTTGAGGTGCTCCAGTCCCCTGATCATCCTCATGGCCCTTCTCTGGACTTGTTCCAACAGTTCCATGTCCTTTTTATGTTTAGGACACCAGAACTGCACACAGTACTCCAGGTGAGGTCTCACAAGAGCAGAGTAGAGGGGCAGGATCACCTCCTTGGACCTGCTGGTCCCGCTTCTTTTGATGCAGCCCAGGATACGGTTGGCTTTCTGGGCTGCAAGCACACACTGCCGGCCCATGTTCATTTTCTCACCAACCAACACCCCCAAGTCCTTCTCCGCAGGGCTGCTCTGAATCTCTTCTCTGCCCAACCTGTAGCTGTGCCTGGGATTGCTCCGACCCAGGTGTAGGACCTTGCACTTGGCATGGTTAAACTTCATGAGGTTGGCATCAGCCCACCTCACAAGAGTCTCAAGGTCCCTCTGGATGGCATTCCTTTCCTCCTCGGTATCAACCGAACCACACAGCTTAGTGTCATTAGCAAACTTGCTGAGGGTGCACTCAATCCCACTGTCCACGTCAGCGACGAAGATGTTAAACAAGACCGGTCCCAACACCGATCCCTGAGGGACCCCACTCGTTACTGGTCTCCAGCCGGACACTGAGCCATTGACCACAACTCTTTGTGTGCAGCCATCAAGCCAGTTCTTTATCCACGAGTGGTCCATCCATCAAATTGATGTCGCTCCAATTTAGAGACAAGGATGTCTTGTGGGACAGTGTTGAATGCTTTACACAAGTCCAGGTAGATGCCATCAACTGCTCTACCCCTGTCCATCAGTTCTGTAGCCTCATCATAGAAGGCCGCCAAATTGGTCAGGCAGGATTTCCCCTTAGTGAAGCCATGCTGGCTGTCACCAAGCACCTTGTTCATGTGCCTTAGCATGCCATCCAGGAGAATCTGCTTCAAGATTTTGCCAGGCACAGAGGTGAGACTGGTCTGTAATTCCCCGGGTCATCCATTTTCCCCTTCTTGAAAATGGGGGTTATATTTCCCTTTTTCCAGTCATCGGGAACTTCACCTGACTGCCATGATTTCTCAAATATGATGGCCAGCAGCTTCACAAGTTCATTTGCCAGCCGCTTCAGGACCTGCGGATGGATCTCATCAGGACCCATGGACTTGTGCACATTCAGATTTTTAAGATGGTCTCGAACCAGTTCCTCTCCTACAGTGGGCGCAAGGTGTTCATTCTCACAGTCCCTGCATCTGCCTTCCAAGACTTGGGTGGTGTGGTCAGAGCCTTTGCCAGTGAAGACCGAGGCAAAGAAGTCATTCAGAACCTCAGCCTTCTCCAAATCCTGCGTAGCCAGTTCTCCTGAGAGCTTCCTGAGGGGGCCTACATTCTCCCTAGTCTGTTTTTTATTTGCTATGTACTTGTAGAATCCCTTCCTGTTATCTTTAATACCTCTAGCTAATTTTAATTCTGACTGGGCCTTAGCTTTCCTAACCTGGTCCCTAGCTTCCCGGACAACATCCCCCATGCCGCCTGTCCTTGCTTCCACTTATTATAAGCCTCTTTTTTCAATTGAATTTTCCTCAGGAGCTCCTTGTCTATCCAAGGAGGTCTCCTGGCCCTCCTGCTGCACTTCCTTCTGGTTGGGATGCAACACTCCTGAGCTTGTAGCAGGTGATCCTTGAATATCAACCAAGAGTCTTGGGCCCCTCTGCCCTCTAGGGCTGTATCCCATGGAACCTTCCTAAGCAGGTTCCTGAAGCGGCCAAAGTCTGCTCTTTTGAAGTCCAGGGCAGTGAGCTTGCTGCACACTCTTCTCACTGTCCTAAGGATCTCAAATTTGAGCATCTCATGATCGCTGCATCCAAGGCTGCCCTGGAGCGTCAGATTTTGTTGCAGTCAAAGCAAAATGCAATGGCTTCTTACTGGAAGCAATCAAGACTTGCTACCATGTATGAAATAACTCGTATGTTGATAATATTGTTTGAATGCATAAAATTAAGTGCAAGTAGACTTGGTGTATTTAAACATGTTGGTTACTTTTGTAAGTTCCTTAATGAAATGTGTCCTCATAAATACCACCATGAAACACAAACAAAAGTCTCAAGGCTCAAAGTTTCACATGAACATGTAAAAGACATTTTTACCTGGATTCAAAGCTCTTACTCAGACCTGATTTCATTTCTAGAAGCGTATTTGTGTCTACTTCATGGTTAGCCTTCCCTGGAAGAGGGATTCCAAGTGGGATCACCTGAGGAACTGGGATCAAGCCAGCCACCACTTTCTCAACAGTCTTCTTCAAAGAAAAAAAAACAAAAAGGCAGACAATAATGTTTCTGAACAGAAGAATGCATTGAGAATGCATTCCTGAATGTGATTCCTGTCTTCATTTGTTACTCTTTCAAGAGAGAATACAAGATTCTTTAAAGTGTTATTTCTCATTGCCAGATTTTCACATTGGAAAGGAGCAAGGTCCTGACTGACACGCAGATAGACTCCACAACTTGTTAAAGTTGTAAAGTAGGCATGATTTTATTCAGCGCTGAGGCACATGGGGACAGCTCCTCCATAGCATGCACATCTCAGTGTTGTTTCCCTCTACATTTATTCTCTAAATTTATACATATTTATAAGGTTGCACAATACTCCTATACATATTCATGTCATATCCCCACTTCGTATTATAATGAGCTAGAAGGTCCTTCGCGCCTGAGCAGTGCCCCCCCGGTCATGGGCAAGGGTCTCAAGATGAATAAATGAGTCTTCCTCTTGTGAGTAGGGGTCTTTACGATGAAGTAAATGAGTCTTCCTCGAGCCTGAACTTTTACCTCTAGCCGTCACGCATGCCCTCTAGAAATCTAGTCAAAGTCCAAACCACAAAGCTGGTTTTAATCTAAGTCTGGTCAAAGTTCAAACCACAAATCTGGTTTTAATCAGTAAGCATTATAGGTGTTTGCTGAGCAAGCCGTACTTTTGTTAAGCAAGCAGAATTCTTTTAACCCCCCTGCACAACCCCCCTGTACATTAACTAAACCTCTGTATCATAACAACCATCCCAATTCCAACGTACTCTCCTGTTGCAGAACTGTGAGCAAAGCTTGAGATGAGCACTGTTGCTTTCATTTCACTTTGGCCTTCCTTGCTCAAGTCTGGATCCCATGTGTTCCAGGGAAACAGCTTTAGCATCATACATCAATGCTCCATGGTAGGAGTGAGTCACAGGGAAGTCTCTCCACCCTAATGGCACATTGGAGCTAGCCTCTTGTTTCATTGCATCTAAATAGATGTCCTGCAAAGAGCTAAAGCAAGACAGCCATTGCTTAAGCTTGTCTCAGCTTTTGTATGCATTAAGAATATCACCTATAAAACAGGTGCCAAACATGACTTATCATAATTTACATAGTCATTATCAGGTCACACAATTCAAGAATGGCAAATTGCAGTTAGATACAATAACATTTTGTAACATAAAAAGATATACTCTGGATCTTGGGAACTGCAGGAAACATGTCTACACAGGAAGTATTTCCTTCTGTAACCAACTTTTTAATCCTCCAGACACATCTTTTACACTGGTCATCAACACAGACAGTGCTTTTTCAGCACAGCAGGGATTCTTTAGTCCGTGCTCTGTCTAGGGCTGTGCCCATCTCTTTTGCTGGGTTGCCCAAAGCAGTGGTTCAGGACTGGGGCAGTTCTCAGCCAAACTCTCTTGGGCTGCAAACACACAGTGTGCATGGGACACACAAGGTGGGGGGATCTGATCTTTACTTGATGCAAAGTGTTATAAAAATCTAGCCAATCTGTTTTAATTGATTTTTATTATAATTAATATCGAGAGACAATAAGCAAGCAGCACTGGGTGCGCCGCAGTGTCTCCGCTCCGCCCAAGACGCACACCGGGAACTTCTGGGGATAGTCTCTTATACTTTTTGGTTTCCCAGGCTTCTTCAGCCAATCCTGTTGTCTTCTTTTCCTGGGTTTCTTCAGTTAATCCTGTTTTCTTCTTTTCCTGGGATTCTGCACCTGTTGTTGGGGTCTTGTCTCCGAGTGAAGAAATATTATGTATTATGTCTATCACAAGTCTGACAGCCATCTTAGCCCCCATAAACTCCACTCCATATGTGTTTATTTGTTCAGCGCACAGATTTCACAACATACTGTAACAGGACATATCTCTAATTTACCTACACCCCCCCCCCCTTTTCTAAGAACATTCATGCAATTTAAACAATGAACAAAACATTTCTTTGCACAATACTGCGGTTGACCCAGGGGAATTATTCCCTTGTTTCTTCTTCTTCCTTGCTGTGGTATTGACAGGGACACTTACCATAACCTTTGCACATAGCACAATGATCACAAGGGATTCCACCTCCACACAAAGTGTAATGATCACTAGGACTCCTGAGTTGTTGACACGAATCACTCTGGTGTAACTCACACAGACGGGCAGTGAGCAGCTTTCCACAAGGAGCCACCTGCTCTTGGCACCCCTGGACCAAAAGCATAGGACCTCAGTTCAGCCTCCTGAGAGCCCAGCCCTGCTGGGACAGAATGGTCCTGCCGCCACCCCCAGCATGCCCAGCCCCTGCCCCAGCATGGGTTCCAGCCCTGCCTGCAATTCTCCTGCTGGGTCAGGCCCTGCTTCCAGTCCCCTCCTGGTACAACCCAGCCCACCTCACCCCACTGCATCCCTGCTCCCGACCCCCTGCCACCTAACTCAATCCCAACCCACAGCCCTGCCTTCCCACTCAATAGCTGCCACAACCCCACTCGCCCCACTCCTGCCCGGGTCCATTCCGCCTCCATCCCAATCTCTCCCCTCTGCAAAACCCCTCTCCCACTACCGATCCCTTCCCACCCTCCACCTCTGTGGCGCCAGCTCTGACGTTATCCCCACGCACCCCCCACTGTCATGGCGGTGGTGCAGGTGGAGGGGAAGCCGGAGCAGAAGGTTCCTGCCAAGAAACACCAAGTGCTGAGACTTACCTGCGTCTGCCCCTGGAGCAGGGTCAGGCCCCACAGCTCTGCTCCTGCCAGCGCTGCCAAGCCTTGCAGTCAGTTGATGGTGCTATCAGAGCACTCCACACACCACAGCACATGCTGTGCCATTGATCTGGCTCTGGCAGAGGCAGAACTGCGTTTGGAAGCTGCAAGCGAACAAAAGCAGCGATTTGGAGAAAAATTCAGGAACAAACTTGCCAACAAAGTTGAAGTTGACAAGCAGGTATTCTTTATTGGGGTGCCAGGAGACACGGGGAATAGCTCCTCTTAACGTGTGTTGCCGTATTGCTACGCAAGCAAGCCTTACATATTCACCGGGCATACATACATATTCATGAGGCTACATATTAATTACATCATTTTCCAGAAAGTTTCCCGCACGTGTACAAAAATGTGGCAGTGGTCTCTGAGGGTCGTTTACTTCTTCCAACAATCTTCATCACTTCTGGCAGCCTTTGAAGAATGTGCACTAGATGTTTACACCAGCTTAATTATCATTACAGACACAGCAATCATCCTGTCCTTCTACTTACAGTTAGTTTAACTGTGTCCATCCTGGACATCTGCTAGTCCCAGATACTCCCATCCCCAGGTCCTGTTTTCCTATCCTGTTTTTCTTACACTTTTTGTACTAAGGTCATAAGGACCTAAAACTATGTCAACTATAACGGTTTATCTTCATGTACGTCAGTTATTTTCCATTGCTACTGTTACAAAGCCATCAAACTTAATGTTACTTAAAATTGATTCCACTTATTTACAAAGGTTTATATTCCATTTTGTGGTTTTGTGCCTCCTTGTCTCAGCTGAGAAGTGGCTGCAAAAGGGCTCTGATGTGGGGCTGAAAGCCAAGGGCTGTGCAGGGGAAAGGAGAGGCTGCAGAGCCTTACCCGTAGGGCTTCTTTTAGTGGAGGTGGCGGTGCTGCCCTTGATCCTGGCTGTTTTCCAGGCCTGACCTGCCCTAAACGGTCTCCCCTTGATGCGCGGATTGACTCCACAACTCGTCAAAGTTGTAAAGTAGGTATGCTTTTTATTCAGCGCTGAGACGCACGGGGATAATTCCTCAAAGTCATGCGTGCTTCAGTGTTGTTTCCCTCTACATTTATTCTCTAAAGTTATATATATTCATAAGGTTGCACAATACGCCGATACATATTCATGTCCTATCCCCGCTTCGTATTGTAATGAGTTAGAAGGTCCTTTGAGCCTGCGCAGTGCCCCCTCTGGTTATGGGCAGGGGTCTCAAGATGAAGTAACTGAGTCTTCCTCCTGTGGGTAGGGGTCTTCAAGATGAAGTAAATGAGTCTTCCTCTTCTTGAACTTTTCACCTTTTAGTCTTCACATATGGCCTTAGGGTTTGGTCGGTGTCCCAGCCATAAACCATCTGCATCTCCCCCTTCAGGCATCTGCTTTTCCTTATCAATAGCTGCTTATCAGTAGAATCAGGCCTCTGCTTTTCCTTGTCAATAGAACCAGGTGTCTGCTTTTCCTTATCAGTGGTTAGTGCCTTTGTTCTGCTTAGTAGGCATGATAGGTACAGACAATACTTTTGTTTAAGCAAGCAGATTCCTCTAACCCCCTTGTACAACCCCCTGTATAACCCCCCTGTACAACCCCCCTGTACATTGGTTAACTCTGTATCACCCTGGCCTCTTCTGCGGCCACCAGCAGAGACAGGATTTTCCTGCACAGATGTCTGCAGCTGATCCTGGGTGATCCTGGTGAGAACCCTTCTGCATGCAAATGCAGATCATATTTTACAGTCATACAGTCACAGCCTGGTTTGAAGTGGAAGGGACCTTAAAATTCACCCAGTCCCAGCCCAGTGGCCATGGGCACGATGCTGCCACCATCACAAAGCTGTGACAGTAGCTGTGGAGACAGACACCCATGGCTCCAGCAGCACCCACAGAAGCCCACTGGGCATTGCGGAAAGCATGAGGGGTGCTGGTAAAGCCCAGGCCAGTGCTGGGCCTTGCGGAAGACTCCAGTGCTCTGCTGCGCTCTGGCAATGCAGTCTGGAAGGTGACAAAAGCCCTGGCAGGCACTGGCACAGCCCAGAAGCCCACCGGGCATTGTGCAAGGTGGAAAGGAGCTGGTGGTCTCTGGGCACACCTGCGCAATCCTGACTGCAGCAATGACCGCGGGAGCCCCTGTGCTCCCACAGCAACAGCGCCAGGACAGATGCTGTCTCTGAGCTTCCCCTGCCCTTGGCAAGCACTGCCCCAGCCCCAGCAATGTGGCATTTCAGGACAGGGACTCAAGTTGATGCTGAAACAAGGAGGCACAGAAGTACAAAATGTAATCAGTTCTAAGTAATGTTAAGTTTGATGACTTGTAATGGAAAATAACTGCGGTGCTTGAAGGTAGTTGACATAGTTTCAGGCCCTCAGGATCTCAGTACAAAAGGTGTGAGAAAAGCAGAATAGAAGGACAGGACCTGGGGATGGGGAGTACTGGGGATTAGCAGATGTCCAGGGTGGGCACAGATAAACTAACTGATAAGTAAAAGGACAGGATGATTGCTATGCTTGAGGTGTTAATAAACCCATTAAGCTGGTGTAAGCATCTATTAGGGAGTATCTGGGACTAGCAGATGTCCAGGATGAGAGCAGTTAAACTAACTGATAAGTAGAAGGCCAGGATGATTGCTATGTCTGTAATGTTAATTAAGCTTGTTGGGAAAAGTAAACGACCCTTAAAGACCACCACATTTTTTCTATGCATGCCGGAAACTTTTTGGAAAATGATGTAATATGCTCAGTGACCATATAAGGATGACCTGTATAGCAACTGGGGGACACACATTAGGAGGAGCTATCCACCGTGTCTCCCGGCGCCGCAATAAAGAATACCTGCTTGTCAACTTGAAACTCTGCTGGCAAGTTTGTTCCTGGAGTTTTCTCCAAATCAATGCAGAGACTCAAATCCTCGTTTATTATCACCAAGCCCTTTTTATCCCCTTGTTCGGTATATACAACGTTCAATCTCACTGGCCACTGTGAAACTCTCCAGGTAAATAGCCCAATCACAATGCTGCAGACCCTCTCACAACCCCCACATCCTCTGGCCTCCAACTGAGATTCTCGGCACAACTACACCCTGGCCCATCCTCTCAAGGCTTGCTTGTTTACCTTCCCTGTCCTTCAAGGTTCCAACTCATCACCCCAGGGCTTGTCAAGCACCAAGGCCTCAGAGCTTATTCCCAAACTCTTTTTCATGCAAATCTTATCATCTTTACTCCCCACATCTCCCCCTTCTTTGTTTTGTATATTCACTATCAATATCTGCTTAAGGGCTCTATTAATAAGAAACTGTATAAGCTAATAAAAACTAACAAAACAAACATTCTTAATACAATTTTTTCACTCAGGCTCCTAGCCTAGCTGATGCACGGATTGACTCCACAACTCATTAAAGTTGTAAAGTAGGTATGCTTTTTATTCAGCGCTGAGACGCACGGGGATAATTCCTCAAAGTCATGCGTGCTTCAGTGTTGTTTCCCTCTACATTTATTCTCTAAAGTTATATATATTCATAAGGTTGCACAACACGCCTATACATATTCATGTCCTATCCCCGCTTCGTATTATAATGAGCCAGAAGGTCCTCTGCGCCTGCGCAGTGCCCCCTCTGGTCATGGGCAGGGGTCTCAAGATGAAGTAACTGAGTCTTCCTCCTGTGGGTAGGGGTCTTCAAGATGAAGTAAATGAGTCTTCCTCTTCTT